CCAGAACTATTTCTGTTATCATAGGACCAGCCCTTTTGACTTGATGCTGTCGAGATCCACTAAAGATTCCATGATCAACAAGCACTTGCTTCTCAGCGGAAGATCCGATTGTGACAGTCTCTATCTCCTGAACTGGAGGCGTCTCAGGTACTGAAGCCGAACAAACATCGTCGCCTTCATTCCTAGGGTCGGCAGTTTTCGTGTTAACATCAATTGACACCATTCCAGGCTCCTGTTTTTCGTCAGCCTGCGTTTGTTGTCGCTTAGTGTCGTGGCTGATTTCAATATCACTTTCATCGCCTCCCCCATCGCTGTTTTCTGTAGAATTTTCATTGTTTTTGTCGTCTGATGTAATCTGCTGCTTCTGCTTCAGCTTCTGCTTCTGCTAAAAAAGACACAAATGTGTACCTTAAAATTTGCATTCACATTGTGTGAAATTTTAACACCCAGCTTGAACAAAACGACATATTAAAAGACAACTTTAAAAAAAGCAATATTTAGGCACTTTGATAGATTTCCCTGTTGTTGCCTTTTTTCCGAACCTGGTCATGAATTACTTTTAATAACATTCCAATTACGTCGAACTGACTGACTGATAGAATCTCCTGTTACTTTATATTACATGGAAAACGAATAAAAGAAAAGTTGCCCGTAGGTTAGTCGTTTGCGAGCAAACTTTTCGGTTACTCAAAAAACGCACATGTTAAGATGATGTAAAGCGTAAAACTGAGTTTTATTTCAATATCACATGAAGATAGATGTATCAAATTTTATTTCCAACCTGCTGAGAACGTTGAAATGTCTTACCCTTATTTGATCGTTTTGTTCCCTTATCTTCGCCACTGCTGCATAAAACAATGTTTAAAAAGGAGATTAACAAAAACCCTCCGGCAAATACCTTAATGTAATAATATTTCATAAATTTGTAAAATCATAAATTTTCCATTAAAAAAAAGGCTGAATCTTCTTACTATTAAAACTGTCCATGATTTTTTGTTGTTCTCGTGTGATCCATCTCTCTCTTTCTTCCCGGACAGCCTCCACTCCTTTTTTTTCCCTTTGTAAAAGAGAAATTTTCAATTTTCAGTTGCCCACAGAAAACCGAATTTTCGTTGTGACTAAAACAGTTTTCATCTGAGTGTCCAAGGTAATTCGAAATCACATTGGTTCTGTGTCATTTTACTTTCTGATTGGTCCAAGAAATTTCGCGCCATCCTCTCAACCAATCAGATATAAAACTAAAACACGACTTGGTCAGCCGCGTTTTCCCGAGCTTTAGGCAGTTTGTTTGATTCTTACTGTGTTTTCATTGCCCCCTTGGGGTATTTTCCTTTCTTGTGATTGGCCCTTGCAATAATTTTGGTTTTGGTATCACGACACTTCATTGAAATACACTATATTTAGCTACACTAAGTAGTTACGCGAATTGTCCAATCGCAATCGCGCTTTTCGTTCGTTTGAACGATAAGTTGGTTTACGACTCTCCTTTTGTAATAGGATAATCACACCAGTTTTGGAAATGATGCTACAAGCAACACAAATAAACTATATGCCTGACAAAAGTCATATGATTATCATTATTATCAATACACAAGACCAAACCGTACAAATTCATTGAAAATATATATAAGGGCGGCAACTGCCATTTACAGCCCGCACTTTGCTGTTTGGCCCGCGAAAAGGAACGTTTTAGAGAGGGCAGTTTGTCATTTGGCCGCGAGTAGTGGTAATACTGCATGTTAAAAATAGGATAAAGTTTTCATTGGCATCTTTCAGACGTTCACTCGCAGCCACGTAAACCCGTCAAACACAAATAATCTTAAAATGCTTTGTTGAAAGACATTTTAATTACATATATGTCTACGTGTAGTGCCTCTAAGTTGGGCATAGAGCGAACCCTGTAAGTATATGTAAACTTTATACTATCACAAGCTGTCAAGCAAACTTTCACCTCCCTGTTTATTATTCACTCCCGTCATTTAGTGAGGGGTATTATCGCATTTGAAACCGTTTTCACCAAGGTCTTCCCAAAATTAAAAGTAAATTTCTTACCATGCCTCAGCACAAGCTCTTTCTCTAGGAAAAACTGGTCTGTCATCAAGGTATCTGAGACCTTTCTAAATAGAAAAAGAAGTGTACTATCCTTAAACATCCTGATGCAAGAATGACTAGGAGTATGCTACAAATTAAAATCAAAATCGCATAACTGAATAGAATCTCGCATTCTGATTGGTTAAGGAGGTGAGTTATTTAGCATGGAATTGCGAGTTGAAAACGAGGCTAGGTGATATTGTTTCGTATCTCTTGTTGCAAGGTTGTTGCCATTTTTCAGTCACCCCCCTTTTAACCGCTCAATCCCAAAGTGTGCTTGTACCAGCAAGAAGCGAGGCACAGTTCCTAGCTTAAACAGTCATCCATTTCCAGAAGATGGGCACGTATGTCCCTCTTTGTGAACGCCAATGAATTCGAGTCAAAAAAATTAAACTCGCTTCTACTGAGAATCTAACGTTTTGATCGTAATTAATTTGCGCCAATGTGCCCCCTCCGGCGTAGAACGAAGATCGCAGCTACATCATGTATGGATAGTTAATGGTTTGAACCGAGTCAGTCGAATGTATATTGACGTACATTGTTCGTAAAGTCTCGATTTCTCCTTTTCCTTGATTTTGTTCCTCTTACAGATTTCTATGAACGTTTCAATTTTCTTTTGCTTACTTTGCAGACAGTAGTTGTTTTCTTTGAAATTTTGCGCAGGAAATCGGCGGGCAGCCGGATAGAATTTATCCCCTCGGGCATGACTGACGCTGTGATAGGCGTTCACCATGGTGTCAGTCCGTTTTAAAGTGAAACACTGCTGACAACATTTAAGAAACAGTCACATACATACATACATACATACATAAATACATACATACAGACAGACAGACAGACAGACAGACAGACAGACAGACATACATACATACATACATACATACATAACCTTTATTAACGTGTCTAGTTGTTCTAGTGCCTGTAAGCACTAATTGGGGATACCCTAAAACTACATTACATCATTAAAACAGATTAAAAATACTCTAAAACTAGCTAGTATACTAATTAATGGCACTAATGGACATCCTAAAACTAAATTACATCATTAAAAAAAATTGTTAAATACTTTAAAATATTAAAAAAGCCCTAAGGTATGCGCACATTCAGTTAACCAAAACATAAGCGGCATTCCCTCCCACATCCTTCCAGAAATGATGTTACGTCCTTCTTACGTATCATAGTCTTAAAGGATGCCAAGGTCTCCCCCTTGCTTAATTTTGACCACAATTGTGGTACGAGAAATCTGAGAGAATGTCTTCCATAGGTGACAGTATTAAACCGAGGTAACATAAAATCCGCATTTCTT